CCTAAGCCCAGCGTGCTGAAACTATGCCATCTTGTGCTTTATATAGAATGCATAATATACATACACACACACACACACACACATATATATATATATATATTATTATTTATTTATTTGTATTTCTATACATATACATTTTCGTATATGTATATACATATATATATATATATGTATATATATATATATATATATGTGTGTGTGTGTGTGCATGTATATGTATGTGTATATGTATATGTATATGTGTATGTATATGTGCATGTTTATGTATATGTATATGAATATGTACATGTACATGTATATGTGCATGTACATGTATGTGTATGCACAAGAGGGCCCCCCACTTACAAGTAGTTAGTGTTAGTTGCATATGGACATAGTAGACTTACAAGTACTTAGCGTGAGTCCGACAAAGGCAACTTAGCAAGTGGACTTGCAAGTTCCGTATCTTTTTCTATGTTTATACACCATGACATTTTCTGATTTTGGCAAGGAGCTGACTTTAGCCCTCCATAAAGCGCTTAAGAGTTTGGAGAGATTTAATAACATATTTAGAAGGGTTTGTTGGTGTTAGATTTGAGTTTAAGTGTTATTGCAAGTTTGCGGAGTCCATTGTTGCACGAGACGATGAGGCAACAACAAACGTTTGGGGGCACGAGCTGGGCGACACGAAGCTCCAAAAGTTCAGAACATTCCCGGCACTCAGTTTAACCAAAGAGACAGAAGCACAAGGATGCCAGTCTGAGAGTCTTAGGCAAGCGAATTTCCCCGCTACAGGTATATCTTGAGATCCTTCCGTGTTCAGGTACGTGAAAGAAGTGCGCTTGCGGACACATGTGCGCCCACTAATGTTTTTTCTAGTGGAAGCTGCGGATACCTGCGCGCCCACGCCTCAGTCATGCCATGATACGCGCGGATACACACGCGCCCACACCCTGTTTTGCGGCATGTGCGGACACAAGCGGACACAAGCGAACACAAGCAGGATACACACGCGTCCACATGTCTTTGGTGGCATACAGCAAAACTACATGTCGGCACGGATTGCTACAATTCAAAAAGCAAGGATGTGCATGCAAACTACAAAGCCTATATTCATTCATTTAAAATGAATAAGTCTTCTTTCCATGCTATATACGCATTTCAAACATGGCAGCCGTCGAGACAAATATGTAGAGCGGTTCTTGCTCACGGTTGCTGTTTGTGCAAATTTCGCAAAACCAGTCCCCAAAAAAATCCCCCCCCCCCCCCCCCCCCAAAAAAAAAAGGGCCCAAAAGGATAATTTGGCTATGTCTGCTATCTTTTCCGATTTCTTTCCATATAAAACTCTGTATCTCCCTTATCCAGGCTTGTATTGTTAGGGCTTACTTAGCAGACATGTAACTGACCTTAAAGACGTTGTAACGGACTTGTAACTGGACTTACAAGGGGGGGGGGCCCACTCTTGTATGTACATGTATATGTATATGTATATGTATATGTATATGTATATGTACAATTTACGTATACGTTCTCCATACTCCCTAGTCTGGCTGTAGTATTACATCGAATACGCTTTGCAAGAAGAAAACTGCTTTCCGGCGGTAGGGTACCCTATAAGTTTCTTATTAGTTTCCATTGCCCATGTACCCGTGGGGGGGTGTGAGCCAAGCTTGGCGGGCCTACACCCGCGGCTCTTGGAGTTTTCGGGGGTGGAGCTGCTCAAAATCAGGGGGCCGCCTGGCCGAGCGGCGAGGGGGGGGGGGGGGAGAGTTTTGAGAAACTGGCCGCCTCCCCCCCCCCCATACTCAGGTGCCTCACCTTATGTTTCTTGGTTGATTAAACGGTAGCCGCAAATCGCCCAAGATCCCCGCATCTAGGGGCGTAGTTTTGAAAACAATGCTTTCTGGTGCAGTGGTTACACTGTATGTGTTACGTCATAGATAGATATCGGATAGTCCGTTTAATATCGTTTAACATCTGTATGTGCATCTTATATAGATACACCTTTACTATCGCTTTATACACAATCTGTTCCACATGATTATACATTATGCTACAAACTGATATGGTTCTTTTTATTATTCATTGTGAACTATATTGTATGTCAAAACCCTAAATTTAGATCCTAGACCCTAAGCCCTAGACCCTAAACCCTAACCTCTAAGTCCTAGACCACAAGCTCCGACATGCCACCACCGCGATTGGCTCACAAGCACTAGGGTTTAAGGGCTTGTAGCGTTTAGGGTTTAGGGTTTAGGGTTGAGGGTTCACGTGCTTAGGGTGTCAGGTTAAGGGCCTCAGGGTTTACGGCCTGAAGGGTTTAAGCAGTGGAGTCGCAGCCAGCCCATCTCTCTAGCCAGCCATTGGCCCCGGAGCCTCAACCTACCACATCTTCTACAAAATCCAACCCTAAAGGCCCAGAAGCCTTCAGCCTACCTAAACTCTAAACCCCAGCCATCTACGCCTTAAGCCCCCCTTGCCCGCGGCTTGCCCCGTGGGGGATGCATGGGCCGCCGTTGTAGGGCAGATGCATTCAGACGAAGGTGCGGGGATTGCTAGACCTTTTAGGGTTTTGGGTTCAGGGTTCAGGGTTCAGGGTTTAGGGTTAATTAGGGTTTAGGGTTTAGGGGGAGGTTTTCTTATTGGGCTTAGAATGGTTTAGGGTTTCAGGTCTTCCGTGTTTTGATGAGGGCTTGTGGAGTTCGGGATGTAGAGATGTGTTCAGTCGCCTTGACATCTCTCGCTAAGTTGAGGCAATTGCTTGAGAAATGTAATTCAGTTTGCTGCGGAAAGAGACCTTTTTGAACGGGTTAATGTCTGAAAACCCTAAACCCAACACCCTAGTGGTTGTCACGTTTTTGTTATAGGTCCCCGGCGCCCCTTAATCAGCTGTGTTGGGTTTAGGGTCTAGGGCTTAGGACTCAGGGTTTAGGATTTGGGGTTTAGGGTTTGATGGTGCAGGGTTTAGGGATCTGGGGAGGAGGTTGGCGGCAATTGATGTTGATGGCCGGACTTGTTGCAGCTCCCACAGCAATCAGGACTAAATCCAAGCCCCTTAACTCCAACTCCCAAACCCTAAACCCTGAACCCTAACCCTCAATTGCAAACAGCCGGCTTCTGACGTTGAGCGTTGTCATCCGGGGCTGGGCCTAGATATCTTCAAGCCCTCAGGCGCAACCTCTTCCGGGGTTTTGGAGTACTATACTTTAATTACTCATTACGGTTTGGGGTTTAGGGTTTGATAGCTACTTCTGCCTACAAAGGTATATAGTTTTTTTTCCAGGGCCTACTCCAAAGTAGAGAAGTTGTTGAGGGTCATTTGGGCCTGATATAGTCTTGGGCATGGTGGGGAGTCGGGGAGGGTGCAGAAGAGGATGAAAAAAAGTAAGAAACATCACAATCATAATCTTGAGGGTTCAGGATTTTGAGTCAAATTCACCATAATTATCACAAGAGCCGCAACATTCTTCATCGTACTCATCGGAGTCGAAATCGTTCTCGGAATCGTCGTAACTGCAATCGTCGCAGTCATGGTCGTGGTCATAGCCGTAGTAAATGGCCATGGCAACAGGAATAGTCAGAGTATTCGTACCAGAAATGGTTAGGGTAAGTTCAAACTGCCGAAGTCTCTCAAAGATCCCTAAACCCTAAACCCTAAATCCTGACCCTAAGCCCTAATCGTAGTAGAATGACCTGGGGGGCCCTTGAGAACGGCCCGAGGGGGGCCCCTCGCAATGCCGATGCTTGCGAAGCGATCATCTCATGTGTCCGTATACACAATATCATACAACATTGTAGCATATGTATACACTACACAATCTGCATGATATACTCTATAACCCTAAACCCTAAACCCTAAACCTTAAATCCTAAACCCTAAACCCTGGGCGGAGCCCAAACCCCGAAATCCCTGTGATCGGTCCTCCACCTGGTGCTCGATGCCCCCCAGGACAGGGTCTAGGGCTTAATCAGATTTAGGGTTTAAGGTTTAGGGTTTAAGGTTTGGGGTTTAGGGTTGAGGTTTAGGACTTAGGGTTTAGGGTTTAGAGTTTAGGATTTAGGGGTTCAAGGTTTAGGATTTAGGGTTTAGGGTTGGCTGTGCTTCCGGAGGCCATTGGCCATGGCGTTCGCAGATGCCGCAGCCAGGTGGGTCGGCTGAGGGTTTTAGTGGGTTGCTCAGGGTTTAGGGTTAGGGTTTAGGGTTCAGGGTTCAGGGTTCAGGGTTCAGGGTTCAGGGTTTAGGGTTTAGGGTTTAGGGTTTAGGGTTTAGGGTTTAGGGTTTAGGGTTTAGGGTTAGGGTTTAGGGTTGAGGGTTGAGGGTTGAGGGTTTAGGGTTTAGGGTTTAGGGTGATGTCGTAAGCCTTTCACCCGACCAGGCCCACAGACCCTTGAACCCCCGAAGATGTGTGGATTGCAGGTGCAGGGTGCTCGTCATTGTCTGGTATTGAACCCTAAGCTCTGAACCTGAAACCCTCAACCCTATTGGGTTCGGGTTTAGGGTCGGTGGGGAGGCCATGAACTTTGGGGATTTCAGGCCTTAAGCCTTAAGCCCATTCATCCTCGAGCTCTTGACGTTCGCTCAGGCGTAAGCCCTGCAGCCCAGTCGGAAAACTCGAAGCTTATGAGTAAGAACCCTGTGCTAACATGGTGAGATCGTTTTTGGGCCGGGGCATGGTGCGCGCAAGCCAAACCCCCCAATCCTCACTCTGCTTAACCCTTCATCGACCGTGTACCCTATAGCCTTGGTAGCCCACCCTCGACCCTTTTTTCTGGGTTATGGGTTCCCTTATGAAGTCACCAACCAAAGAACGGGTACTCTTGTGATAACTTTAACGCTACGCGACCCGTCTTGGCCTGAGCTTCTGTAACAGATAGGGGGCTGCGGGCAGAGGGGTGGGAAAAGGCCCCGAGGCCAATGGAGGAGACGGGCGACCCTAAGCCCTAAACCCTAAAACCCTAAACCCTAAACCCTAAACCCTAAACCGAGACCTCCACCCTGGACCCAGGACTCTGAAACTTCATGACCGGCCGGGGCCCAAGGGGTCAAGCCGCAGCCCGGCCGTCGTCTGATGAGGGTTTCGGGATGAGGGTTTAAGGATAAGGGGTGAGGGTTTAGGGGTGAGGGGGGAGGGTTTAGGGATACATCCTAAACCCTCATACTCCAAAGCCCCAAGCCCCGGAAAACCGGCGGGACCCGAAGCCTCGGAGACCCTCGAAACCCTGAGCCCTGAACCCTACACCCTAAACCCTAAGCCCTTTACAAGCCCTACAACCCGAAGCTTGAAAAGCCCTGAATCCCTAGACTTGAGAACCCGAAATCCTGAAGCCCCAAGCCTTAAATCCCTTTCATCCCTAAGCTTTGTAGCCCTGAAGCCCCAAATCCCTGAGCCCTAAAGCCTAAACCCTAAAACCCTAAACCCTAAACCCTAAAACCCTAAACCCCGAACCCTAAACCCTATCCCTAAACCCTAAACCCTAAACCAAAAACCCTGAACCCTCCCAGGAGTGGTCCAGGACCCGCGGTGCCACCTGCACGTACTCCATTGCGAGTCGTCCACCTGGCCAGGTTTAGGGTTTAGGGTTTAGGGTTTAGGGTTTAGGGTTTAGGGTTTAGGGTTTAGGGTTTAGCGTTAAGGGTTAAGGGTTAAGGGGTGTGGGGTTCGGGGTTTAGGGGTTCGCGCCTGTTTTTTTGGGGGTTAGGGGGCCGGATTAATTTGTGTTCAGGGCGAAATCCATAAGCCCAAAACTTGCACCAAAGCCCACAAACCCTCAACCCTCAACCCTCAACCCTAAACCCTAAACCCTCTACCCTAAACCCTAAACCCTCAACCCTGAATGCTCCAAGCCAGTTGAATCCACTGCCAGGCTGTTGGTCCACCAGGCGCCCCCTGTGGATCTTGCGATGCTTGCCAAGTGTCCGGGCCTCGGCTGTTGAGACCCATGGGGTTTAGGGTTTAGGGTTTAAGGTTTAGGGTTTAGGGTTTAGGGTTTGTAGAGTTTTGGGTTTGTAGGGTTTAGGGTTTAGGGTTTGTGGTGTTTTGGGTTTAGGGTTTATAGGGGTTAGGGCTTAGGGCTCTGAAGGGTTGAAGGGGGGTTCGGGTGCAGGGTTTAAGGTTCAGCCTTGGCGATCATTTCTTGCAATCATGGTCCCAGGCTGGGGTTCTTGGTACACTAGGGGGAAGCTATGATTCGGCTACCCCAAAAGGGGCGACCGCAATTGTGCACCCCTCTCCCATATGCCAAGCCCCTACACTGCCTGCTATAGTTCTCGTCTACCCTAAACCCTAAACCCTAAACCCTAAACCTCCCGAAGTTTAACGACTGTTTGGGTCAGGTAAGGGTTCGAGGGTGCAGAGTGTAGCAGAGTTCTGAGCTAGCGGGTTGGGACATTGGCGGCTTTTGTGTGTGTGTGTGTGTGTGTGTGTTGGAGTGCTCGCCTCTGCTTTCAGGGCCGAAAGCAATTAACATGCCCAAAACGCTGAAATCGCTTCAGGGGGGGGCAGAATCTCTATAATATACCCCTTGCATAGCACGCACATAACCCTTCGTGCCCTATATCATCTTTTGGAGCCTTATGCCCCGTTTCGCTGGCCTCCTCTTGGCTTCGCCTGAAACGAAGACTTGGTGGATCACAGTGGGAGTTTAGGGTCCTGAGAAACCCTACGCCCCCTGATCCCAAATTGAGGTTGATCTATTGGGCCGTATGTGGGTACCGAAGTCCTGAAGTGGTTCGCACACCCTATAAGGAGGGGCCCCCTTACTATACTAACTCTAGTTAAGGGACTTATAATATACTTATAACCTAAGTTAGGATCCTTAGAACCCAATTTAGGACCCTTATAACCCCACGTATAACTAGGGGGGCCCCCTACTTGTACACCACGATCGCTATTCTTGACCATAAGCCTTTCATGTAGGGCTTGGGTTCAGTGTTTCGCGGACTGGTTCGGAGTGTGTAAAGGGTGTTCCTACGGCGGTCGTCTAGGGACGAGACCGCGTTCAGCTGCTTCCAACAAAACCACCCTAAACCCTAAACCCAAACCCTAAACCCTAAGCCCTAAACCCTAAACCCTAAACCCTAAACCCTAAACCCTAAACCCTAAACCCTAAACCCTAAACCCTAAACCCTAAACTTAACCCTAAACCCTTTTCAGCCGTTGTGCATTTCCTTCGAAGCAATGTCGGACGACATCGGCAGCGAGCCGAACCAGCCTGACTACTACAAGGCAGCGCAGTGACGGAGGGCAAAGTCCCTGAGTTCCAGTTTGTGGTTTAGGGTTTAGGGTTTAGGGTTTTAGGGCTTAGGGTTGACCTAATAAACTAACACAAAGTGGAGCCACCTGTCCGCAGATTCATTGCCACAGCTGAAAGCAGGGAGAAACCCCAAGCCCCAACACCCTAAACACTCCGCCAACAAAACTTCGTACATAATCAACGCGCCCAGCCCTAAGTCCAAAGACCCTTCCATGTGAACTCCTTGAGTCCTTCCCCCTCCCCCCCCCCCCCCCCCCCCTCCCCCCTTCAAAAGTTGCTAAACCCTGAAAGTCCCCTCCCATAGGGTTTGGGTCCTTTTGGTTCTAGGCTTTGCGGTAGGTTAGGTTCTGATCTACCCCTTGAGGAACACCAGCTCACGACATACCAAAAGGAGGTCGTTTTTGGGTTGCGGGAGGTGGTGTGATGCAGGGTATTCCCTTATGGCCCCGATATAACTGGACTAGAATAGCCCCGAAAGCCCTACTCTGATTATCAAGGCCCCTATAGTATGGTGCCGGGACGGTCTTTCCGCGATACAGGAGGCCGTAAGCCCGAAACCCCGACGCCCCAAAGCCTAAGCCCCGAAACCCGCATGATTTCCTCAACAAGCTTCACCCCACTCCCCACATACATCTACTGCTCACAGCTGAGCTGGGGCGGTAAGCGGCTAAGTTGGTTGGAGGCTCAGAACCCTCAGCCCTATACCCTAAGCGTGGCGCAAGGCCCTCGACCCACATAACGAGGACCCTATCTCAGGGCTTAGACTCGGACTTTTCGGGCTTGAGGGTTTTGGAGCTGCCGTATTGGGGTTAAGGTTCCGAGCTGTTAGAGTTTCAGGGATGTAGTAGGGTTACAAACGGTTTGGGGTTCTAGGGTTTAGGGTTTAGGGTTTGGGGTCTAGGGTTCCAGGTTCTAGGGTTTGGGGCTTGGTGTTTAGGATCAGTGGGTTGAGTATTCTAGGGTTCGCTTTACCGTAGCCCTAAACCCGAAACAAGCCTCCAAAGAATCCGAAAACCTAACCTCCTTCTCCCTGGAAACCCTGGAAGGTTTAGGGTGTAGGGTTGAGGGTTGAGGGCGTAGGGTGTAGTAGGTTTTAGGGTTTAGGGTTTATGGGATACCGGCCGACTCCCCCCCCCCCCCCCCAAAAAAAAAAACCCGAACTAGGGTTTCGGGTTCAGGGTGTAGGGTTTCGAGTTTAGGGTTACCCTAACCCTAAACCCTAAACCCTAAACCTTAAACCCTAAACCCTAAACCCTAAACCCTAAGCCCTATACCTCCCGAAGCTCCCTGAAACAGCCCGAGCGGAGGTGCTCGGAGTCCCCCGAGATGCGAATTCAGAGGCCATTCGCAAGGCCAGCTGAAGTGCTTCGGAGCTGAGTCTCATGCCTAAACCCTAAACCCTAAGCCCTAAGCCCTAAGCCCTAAACCCTAAACCTAGACCCTAACCCTAGCCCTAAACCCTGAACTCAGGAAAGGAAATCAACTAGCGTGATCCGGAAATCCTGAACCCCAAGAACCCACAACCCCCAGAAGGACAGTGCTTGAACGCTTGGGATGTGCTACATGAACGACTTAGGGTTTTTTTAGGGTTTATGGTTTAGGGCTTCAGGATTTTGAGGGTTTAAGGGTTTAGGGTTCGGGATTTCGGGGGTTTAAGGTTTATTGGGTTTTTGGGTATTAGGGTTTAAGTGCCTGAAGGGCTTAGGGTTTAGGGATGTTTGAAGGAGTTTGGGGCCCGGGCGAAGGGTTTCGAGGCGAGGGCCTGTGTAGCGGAAACTTCTCTGAAGACACGAACCCTGAAATTCCAGAATTTATAGGGTTTAGGGCTTATAGGGTGTTGGCTAAACCCTATAGACCCTTAAGTCACCCTAAGAATAGGGCTTGGGGCTTATAGAGTGCTTTCTCAACCCTATAGTTCCTCAACTCACCCTAAGAAAAGGCTCGTGTCCCAGCTTGTAAGGACGTCGGAAGCATGCTCAAGCCCCTGATTCCCTCAATCCGAATTGCAACTGAGAGCTTCAGCTCAGGACACACGACTTTTCGGGTTAGCTCTGGGCTTTCCGGCTTGGGGGTTTAGGGTTCAGGGTTTGCATTAGGGTTTAGGGTTTCGGGTTTAGGGTTCAGGGTTGGGGCTTCAGGGCACAATGACCACGATGCAGGCATACAAGAAGCTGGCGCTGAAGTGGCATCCAGACAAGAATGCGTCTACGCTGACTCTTACTTGTGTGTGCCACCAAAATGCCGTAGTTCCTGGCTGGTCATAGACATGGTCTGCTTCTTGAGGCCCTAAACCCTAAACCCTCAACCCTCAACCCTAAACCCTAAACCCTCTACTCTAAACCCTCAACCTTAAACCCTAACCCGAAACCTTAACCCTGTATACCACCTCCTACATCCAAGGATGGTGACGCCGCAGCGGCAGAGAAGTTTAAGGACCAGATCTCCGGAACACACGTCCTTAGGCACATCGGGTTCTGGGTCTGGGTTTCAGGTTCTAGGTAGGTCCTAAACCCTAAACCCTAAACCCTAAACCCTAAACCCTAAACCCTAAACCCTAAACCCTAAACCCTAAACCCTAAACCCTAAACCCTAAACCCTAAACCTATTGGGGTCTTGTATACATTCTCTTATTGGGTTTAGGATCATCATGTTCAGGAACATTTTTTCAGAGAGTTTCAGGGGCCATCCTAGGGTTGGAGGTTTAATGGTTTCGGGTTAAGGGTATAAACCCGAAACCAAACCCCAAACCCTAAACCCTAAACCCTAAACCCTAAACCCTAAACCCTAAACCCTAAACCCCAGGGATGGAAGGGGCTGAGAGTCGCAGGAGCTCGCAGAAGCGTTCACCGTGCTGAGCGACGAGGAGCAGAGGAGCAGCTACGACCAGGCGCGGGCGGGTCCCGAAAGTAAAGGCGGGTCCCGAAAGCAAAGCCCCTAAATAACAGCCCTAAGACAACCCAAAACCCTAAGCCCATGGATGTATATAGCCCTAAACCCTAAACCCTAAACCCTAAACCCTAAACCCTAAACCCTAAACCCCAAACCCTATAAAGCCTAAACCCTAAGCCTTTTCAAGGCTTGTTGTTAATTGTTTTTTACTTGTGAGGCTGAAAGCAGTTTCAGTCGCCAGGAGCTTCGTGGTCAGGGTTCTCTCCGCCGGCGCCAACCGCGGTCCAAGACCATGGAGGCGTAGTTCCTGCAGGGTTTAGGGTTTAGGGTTTCGGGTTTAGGGTAGGAAGGTTCAGGGTTTAGGGTTCAGGTGGTTTAGGGCTTGGCGCGCGGGTTAGGGCTTGGCGCGTCTCCTACACTTGAGAGGGCCCGTGTATGGGAAGAATCAGGGTACACCTCTGGTGGGATGGCGGTCGCTAGCCAGGTCGTGGTCACAAGGGTCTCGGCTTTCGGGAGGCCCGAAGGTTGAATGGACTGCGTCGTTTCTTAGGGGTGCTTGGAAATAGTTTTTAGTTTTTGGGTACTATATTTCCTAAGAAACAGCAAACAATATAGTTTTTGCTGGGTTCCAAGTTCAGTGTAGGTTTGGTTGTTTGCTTGGCTTGGCGGCTGCTGCATTTGTACCCTGGGTTTTGGAGTACTGTACTTTAATACTTTTTTTGGTTCTGGGTTCCTATTATGGCTACTTATACCTAAAAAGTATATACTTTTTTTCCAGGGTCTACTCCAAAGGTAGGTACCTGTGGGGTTTGGGACCCACAGAAACACCAGAAGCTCAAGCCAGGGGTACAGCTCGCCCCTGATTCAAGACATCCCCGAGTCCTTTCGTGTTGTAGCAGGATGCAGTGGGAGGGTGTAAGGCTTGACAGATAGGCTCAATTCTAAGCCCTGACACCAAAAAACCCTCGACGATGGTCGTCTTGGGATGATCGGGAGTTTGTCTTCGGATGCCGTTCTTCTTCCGCACTTGACTTGTTGATTCCTGGACATGTTGACAGGCGGCAATTGCCAAAACGATGCGCGAGGCTCGTGAGAAGTTGCTCGGCCCCATTTCTACGTCGCCCGAGGTGCTCTCAGGGTCTGAATAAGCCACGCTCGCTCTCGCCTCGCTCTGGCTCTTTTCTCTCTGTCTCTCTCTCTCTCTCTCTCTCTCTCTCTCTCTCTCTCTCTCTCTACGTCCACCGCGAGAGGGATATGTGGGCGTGTAGCTATAGGTTCTTACGAAGGCCGGGGTTCCGAGTCAACGCCCTTCGATTACTATACACACACACACACACACACACACGCACGCACGCACGCACGCACGCACGCACGCACGCACGCACGCACGCACGCACGCACGCACGCACGCACGCACGCACGCACGCACGCACGCACGCACGCACGCACGCACGCACGCACGCACGCACGCACGCACGCCCGCACGCACGCACGCCCGCACGCACGCACGCACGCACGCACGCACGCACGCACGCACGCACGCACGCACGCACGCACGCACGCACGCACGCGCACACACACACACACACACACCCCTTCACCGAAACCAATGCAAACCCCAAAAACCTAAACCCTCAAACCTAAAACCCTAAACCCTCAAACCCAAAAACCATAAATCCTCAAACCTAAAACCCCAAACCCCAACCCAAAGCCCCAACTCTCAAAACTCCCAAAGGCTGCTGAGCAAAGAGGCATCATCTGGTGCTCGGGATTGCTCATGAGCCCTCTGAGTACGCATTTATGAGTTGGAGGAGTCGGCATAAGGTTTCGTAGAACCTCCGAAATATTCAACACCTAAGAGCTTCAAGCCCCCACACCTCCCAAACCCCTGAAAGCCCCCGAACCCCAGAACCCCCAAACCCCTCAAACCTCCAGAAGCAGAGCCCTCAAACCCCGCAAAAACTCTCAAACCCGCCAAACCCCCACACCACTCGCGGAGGTTTCGCGAGGAAGCGAAGCAGCAGAGCTCTGGGGCAGCAGGCCTTTGTGCCCGGGTGTAGGGTTTAGGGTTTAGGGCGTGGGGTTTAGGGGTTTAGGGTTTAATTAGAGTTTAGGGTTGAGGGGCTTTAATGCTTAGAATAGGGCTTTGGGGGTTAGTTATTCTGTATACTTGCCCTATACTTCCAGGGGCCTAATAATTCGGTTCCTGAAAGTGGGGTTAAGGACACCGCATATATGTCCCTACAAGTACAGGGTTACAAACGGACCATAAGGGAATACGATTCATAGTTATTCCGCCCTTCCCCTTGGTTAAAGGGGTTTAAAGGGATCCGAAGTATGGGCCCTTATTACGTATAGTGTATATATAAGGGTTATATAAGAGTAACAGCGATCCCAAACTAAGGACCCACACTTCGGATCCCTAAACCCTAAACCCTAAACCCTAAATCCCTAAACCCTAAATCCCTAAACCCCTAAACCCCTAAACCCTCAACCCTAACCCAGTGAGAACTACAGGCGGCTGCGACTGGGGAATGGTCATCATCATTGGTGTGGGCTCCCTGATCGCGCGGCCAGTATGCAATGTATTCTCGGTTGCTACTAGTAGCCTATGGGACCCAGACTGGCCCCTTATTCCCCCTTTCTTAGGGTTAGGGTTTAGGGTTTAGGGTTTAGGGTTTAGGGCTTAGGGTTTAGGGTTTGGGGTTTGGGGTTTGGGGGTTTAGGGTTTAGGGTTAAGGGTTAAGGGTTTAGTTGGCTAGGATCCAGAGTAGGCCCTCGTTCCCTTTATTTTAGGGTTCAGGTTCGCTTATAGGCCTCCTTAAACCAAACAGGGCACCCTTTCTGTTCCTAGGTTACTCTTAGGTCGCGCAATGTTAGGGAATTATTGAAGGAATAATCGTGGCAACAGGAACAACAAATAGGTTTGACAACAAGTGCAACATGACAATGCTAGGAATAGTTGAATGTGGATGGTAGCAGTATCGAGATAATATATGTTCAAAGACTTAGCAGCTGTGTGAGTACACTTCACACTTTTTGGGATACTATAACTCCCTGTAACTCCCTATAGAACTGAAAGCGTACACTTTTTGGGGGCTTAGGATTTATGTCGGGCTCAACCGCTCCTGGAAACGACTTTGGGTTTGGGTTTTCGTTTTGCAGACCCTTGGGATGCAAGCTTCTCTCGGAGATGCCTTGCCGGAAGCTGTTTCGTGACGAGTCCTCATGGTATGTACTCATCCCTTGTGCACGTACAGCATTTTGGGGGGGCTTACCAGAATGAGGGAGCTCTCATACAAAAACCCAGATGGTAGGATTCCCCAAGAATGAGGACCCACATAAGGTACCCCGAATGTCGGATATCCTTCGTACTTCTCGTCCTGGCTCATGACCCGCCGAGGCTATGGGTGGCTGTCCGCTGAAGAGCAGCCCTCAGAATGGAGACATGGAGCTCTTCGCCAATGTCCTGAAAAGCCACCTCCGGCGGGCCCCAGCAAGTCACAACCGCAGCTGCGAGCGCGTGCGGGCCTGCACCCGGGGGTGCGCCTGAGCCACTGGTGGGTGTTAAGAACGAGCCAACTCAGAAGCAGTTTGGGCATATCCCAAAGGTGCGCAAAAGATGTCGCCAGGCTACGTAGGAGCCCTTCAACTAATTTCCCTAATTTTCGGAACCCCCCCGAGTAGCCTCAACCCTAAACCCTAAACCCCCACTGCCCCCCTGACTCGGGTCTCCTAAGCCCTTAAACCTTAAACCCTAAGCCCCTAAACCCTAAACCCCAAGCCCTAAGCCCTACAAGCAGCCTATAGGCTATGACCCATCCACTCTGCACTTCGAGACAGCTGGCTCCCCTCTGCGGGCGAAAAGAGAGTAAGCTTGCACGCCCAGTTTTGAGGATTTAGGGTTTAGGGTTTAGGGCTAGGGTTTAGCTAGGGTTCAGGGCTAGGGTTTAGGCTAGGGGTGGGCCTGTGATAAGGGGGCCTGGGTTGGATTTGGGGTACTGGGATTTTGAGTTTGCTAGTTGCATCGAAAGATCAAGAATCCTTGAAGAACATCATCTAATGTTCATCTTCCCCCAGATTCGTTCAACCCAAATCTGAATCCCAAGCTTTAAACCCTCTATGGGGGGTTCCACAAAGAGGGTTACCCTTTCTGAGGGTTCCTTTACCAGGATTCGAGAGGGCACCCCTAAATTTTCGGAAATCCCCAAATGCAGCTTTCCACAAGGCCAATGCCATTGGTATATCGGGGACGCACACCACGCGTCGGAGGTGGTGGGTATCTTTCACCCTGGGCCGGATGCCCCAGGGGTGAGTTTGGGCTTAGGATTTAGGGTGAGAGTTTAGGGTTTAGGGTTGAGAGTTTCGGGTTTAGGGCTTAGGGGTTTGGGGTTGAGAGTTTGGAGTGTCGTGTTATCAGGGTTTAGGCTTTCTGGGTTAAGATTTTGAGGCTCACAAGCTCACGGTTCGGCTTAGGGCGTTTCAGGGTGTAGAGTCTAGAGAATCGGGATGACTAAGCAAGCCCGCAAGACCCCACATTCCACTTTTGTTGGGGTTTGCCTTCCTTCATAAACGTAATCTGACGAACAACTACAGGCTTTCCCGGGAACCCTAAACCCTAAAACCCCAAACCCTAAACCCTAAACCTAAACCCACGCCCCAAAACCGAAGCTCCCTGTGAGCTTAGAGGAGGCCCTTGAGTCTTGAGCTAGAGTGCAGCCCGGAGCGCGCGGGCCCCCTCACCTTCCTAATCCTGAGGAGGAGTGGGATTTAGGGTTTAGGGGTTAGGGTTTAGGGTTTAAGGGTTTAGGGCTAATGTGGGCTTGCGGTTTGCAATCCTGAAGCCCTACGGGTCGACTTGCCTAAGTCGCATACATTTTCGCCCCCAAAAACACTATGTAGGAATTGATGTTGGACCCCTGTTTAGGTACAGGGACCCGAATCTCCAACCAGAAACAGGCAAAAGCCACGGCCAAAATAGCCATAAACCCAACCCCCCCTCCATAAATCCTGTAGAAAACCCCCCCCCCCCCCCCCCTACAAACCCTGAGAAGCTCAGCGTCCAACGGCCCCTTTCCGCCGTGAGCTCAGGCAAAGCCTGCGCCTGGATTTCTGCACCTTCGTTGTCGCCGATGTGGGGCCGGCCGATTTATGTGTAGGGAGGGCTTCGACCCACCACCCCGCAACCCCCAAACTCACCACACGCAAGTTACAAAGCCGCCCTTCCACCAAGCCGATTAGCCCCTACACCCCGAAGCGCCAATTACAACCCTGAGCGTTGACCTTAAAGCCCAGTTAAACTAAACTCCAAACCCCAAACCCCCAAACCCCCAAACCCCCAAACCCCCAAACCCCCAAACCCCCAAACCCCCAAACCCCCAATCCCCAAACCCCAAACCCTAAACCCTAAACCCCAAACCCTAAACCCTAAACCCTAAACTCGTCAAAGTGCGACCTGCGCTCCTTCGCTCAATCGGCCTACGTGGTGTCCGGCAGGTCGACCGCGACTTCGACGTGAAGCTCACGGTGGCAACGGCCGTGCCCTTAAGGGGGTTTAGGGTTTAGGGTTTAGGGTTTAGGGGTGTAGGGTTCAGGGTTCAGGGTTTAGGGCTTCAGGGACCAGGATGCGCTGGGTTTAAGGTTTTTCAATGTTTATAGTTTATAGGGTTTAGACTTGGATTGGAGGTTACGTTCTATGCTATAAGCCTTAACCCTCTCCTCAAGAGGTCAGAGGTAGCTTGCCGCACGAGCTCTGACCCGATATCTGCAGCTCCACAGTGGTCCAGGCAAACGTGCCCCACCCACCGGGGCACACTGGCTCTGTATGATTTGCTTAGGGTTTATAGGGTTTATAGGGTTTAGGGTTTAGGGTTTAGGGCTTAGGGTTTTGGGTTTACGGTTTAGGGTTTAGGGTACCCTAAACCCTAGGCCCGAAACCCTAAAATGACAGAGGCCGCTAGATGCTCCCACTCAGGCGCTCGAAGGTCTGTTGCAGAGTTTCTGTTGGGACATGATTTGTTAGGGTTTAGGGTTTAGGATTTAGGGTCTAGGGTTTAGGGTTTAGGGTTTAGGGTTTGGCTAAGTGTTTGGGGTTTCCAGGGTTAGGTGCCGAAGTAGTCGCTGGCTGCTGACGTGGCGTCGGCTTAGGAGAACATGGCGAAGGCCGAATCTGCAGGCCTCCAACTAGAGTAGAGGAACCCTCACTATCTACCAGCGTATTGCAAGCTACTGGCCAGTGAAGTGCGCGAAGCTGGAGTTGACATAGGGTTTTGAGCCCTGAGCTAGCTCAGGGTAACAGGGTTTAGGGTTTTGGAGCCCCTCCACCTGAGGTGGATTTAGAATTGATTATACATTTCTATGGGTCCTAAGCCCTTTCTACCCTTAATAGCCCATAGAAAAGTACATTCTTATAGGTCCGCCCCCCAGCATCCCTGAACCCTCAACCTCAACCCCCAAATCCTCAACCCTGAGTCGCCTCATTTCATATGTAGGGTTTGGGGTTCCTAAACCCCTAAACCCGAAACCCTAAACCCCAAACCCGAAATCCGAAATCCGAAGCCCTAAGCTCCCCCCAAGGTGGCCGGTGATCATCTGGTCCGGGATCCCGGATGTGGAAGCTGTGCGGAGGTCAAGACCCCTGATCATAAGACAGGATGCCTGTGGCTAGCTACTCTTTGCTTAAGAGCCCACCAAAAAGCACAGAGCAATGATTGACAACTACTCATTGGCCCTATTGCCCTTATCCGGAATATGTGTATATATATATATACAGATAGATAGATCGGTAGATATATACATACATATTTATTTTTTGTTTGGGGGGGGGGAGGAGGGGGGGTATAAACAAATGATCGTTAGGGGTTGAGCCTTCTGGCGCCTATGTTTGAAGTGGTCTTCCTATCATGTTCTCAAGGGGTTTAGGGTTTGGTGTTTATGGTTTAGGGTTTAGGAGCAAACCTGGGCTCCTTTCAGGGCGCGCACGCAAGACATGGGGTTCAGCAAAGTTATTACCTGGAGGTCCATAGAAATCGGAGCAGCCATGAGACTTAAGCGGAATGTCTTGGGATGTTCCCCTTATAAAACAAAAGTCCTCAATAGGGATTATAGTACCCCCTATTCTAATCCCTGTCAAGGACGGTTGGTATAAGGGGGAAATGTCCTTACTCCAGCAGTTTGAGAGGTCGAGGTGGCTCCATGCGAGTCGGTTGACGACTCATCCTGAAATGACCTAGCTATCATCCCCCTACCAGGATCCGATAACCCCTTTAAAAGGCCCTTTATAATCTTGATTATAGGCCTCTTAGCCCATCCTGGTAGACCCCAAGCCCCGAATCCTAAGGCTTGACCCCTCAGCGCAGACCCCGCCGCAGACAAAAAGCGACTGCCTTGGTAGCCCAGTGGACCCTTTACCCCCTTTTTTGGTTATGGGTTCCCTTATAAAATAATTAACCCAAAAAGGGTGCTCTTATTATAATATGGTTACTGGGCTGCAAGCTGCAAGGCGGTATTCTTCGGCCGCCTGTCCGAGCTCACCCAAAGTGAGCAGTTCACAAGGCCGGGGAAATGGAAGCCAGTCGGATTCTGGGGGTCCAGCTGAACCCCAAACTGGGTCGGTGAATTTCTGGTCCATATACCTTGATGGGGATTTGTGGTTTTATAGGGTACAGGACCCCAATTTTGTTTAGGGATGTTAAGGGATCATGCCGTCCGCAAGGATGGATGAGAGGTTGGAAGAGTTCATTGTTCACGGTTCCGGCCGGGTGCTTAGGGCCTAGGAGGGTTTGAGTTTAGGGTGCAGGGGTTTCAGGTTTAGGGTTTAAAACGCGTGCAGGCCTGAAGGGGTTTCTGGCCACCAGTACCAGCAACTTCATTGTCTCAGGAGACCCTTGAGAATTGCATGGCGGCACTGGGGATTTCACTTAGGTTACTTTCGGGTTGAAGACTGAGGGTTTGGGCCCTACTAGAGCCTGACACCAAAGAGCGGGTGAGAGAGACTGAGGGTTGAGGGAGAGGGGGAGAGAGAGAGAGAGAGAGGGAGGGAGATACGTGAAATGTCCGCCTTGCCTTTCTAGCCCGGGGGGGCAGGGGAAGGGGAAGAAAAGGGGAAGGAGAAGGGGGAAGGAAAAGAAGGAGGAGGAGGAGGAGAAGTAGAAGAAGAAGGAGAAGAGAGAAACGTGTGTTCCAAGCTGTGGAGGGCTTCAAATTCGACATCTCAAATATCAAGCTACAACGCTTCTTCAGCCCGGCACACCTGTGGTTTAAGGGTTTAGGGGTTTAGGGTTTTAGGGTTTAGGGTTTAGGGTTTAGGGTTGACTTGCGCCCCTGAGAAGCACTTTGAAAGCACACAGCTCACACTGAACACCTGAGTTTCCGAATGCCCAAAGACCTTGAAGCCCTCAACCCGAAACCTCACAACTAACATCCAAACCCTAAGCCCTAAACCCTCACCTAACCCGAAACCCTAGGCCCTAAGCCTCACTCCGTAGTTAGTCCAGAGACAGCAGAGCCAACAAACGGACCTAAACCTTAAACCCTGAACCCTGACCCCTAAACCCTAAACCCTAAACCCTAAACCCTAAACCCTAAACCCTAAACCCTAAACCCTAAACCCGTAAAAATGGCGAGGCATGAGCTGGAGCTGCGAAACGTAGAGGGCGTTGTTGCGCGCTCAGGGGGTTTCAGGGTATGGGGTGCCATCTTTCTCTTGGTGGCCCGGTTTTGTTTCGCTTCAAGGTTGCCTTGTAAAGTAACCCCACAAAGGGTGGCCCTCATGATAGTATGGTCTCTGGTAGCTTCGTGGGTTCTCAGGGATGCTTGCAGAATCGGTGAAGAGTTTAGGGTTTAGGGTTTAGGGTTATTGGAGTGTCTGAGATTCTCTGGGTTTTGGGTTAGAGCCTGCTCAGAGGAGGCTACAAGAGAACGCCGGGGCCAAACTGAGGTTCTGTTTTTGCTTTTGGTTTGCTTTGTTTGTTGTATCTGTGTTTTTTGTTTGTTTTTTCTTTGCGGGGGGGGGGGGGGGGGGGGGGGGGTGGTTGGGCTTCAGGCCCTAAACCCTAAACTCCTTTAGCTTGGCAGTTTTCCCTTTTTTTTCGAAAAGTCCTTAATAGGGATTCTATGGTACCCCCTATTATCATCCCCATTAAGGACTGTTAGGATAAGGGTGAACAAACGGTCCTGTATAAATCCTATAAACCCTGCAAGCCTCGAGTTTTGTGAGGTGGCGTCTGCAGTCGTGTTTTGCGCTGAGCAGCAGCGGTGGACGGCCAGAACCTCAGCAAAGAACCTTGGTAGATCTGTTGTTGGGGCCCTTCAGTAGGGGCGGTTTAGGGTTTTGGTGTTTAGGTTTTGGTTGGAAGGGCTTGGCTGGGCAACAAGTGCGCAAGCTAGTTTGAGTAGAGTTGCCTCGTCCCCAAAAAGTTGGGATGTTTCCCCTTATACGAACAGTCCTTAATAGGGATTAGAATAGGGGGGGGGTACCATCATCCCTATTTCAGGACTGCTAATATAAATAAGGGGGAACATCCTAAACCCGAAGCCCTTAATCCAACAGAGCGAGTCCCCGATCTCTCATTCGTACGTTCGCGCGACACACAAGTTTGCAAGTTTGCGGTTGGGATGTTCCCCCTTATATACGAACAGTCCTTAATCGGGATTGTAGTACCCCCTCCCCCCCCCCCATCAAAATCCTGTTAAGGACCGTTAGTAAAAGGGGGAACATCCCGAGTTTGCAGGGAGTGAGGCTTGATATCGTTGCATCCAGCACCCTGTGTCACAAGCGGGGACAGGGTGAGGTGGGCTTTGGGTTTAGGGTTTAGGGTCCGGGTTTAGGGCGTTAGGGCTACGACCCATGAGTGTCCACACAAGCTTTGGTGAGTCAGGAAAGGCGACACGCCGTGGCCTGCCGTGGCTCCACTCAGCTGAGCACGGGTTGCAGAGTAACTTTTAGGGTGTTTCGTGACCCCCTTGCCGATCTCAGACAGCATGGGCTGCGCTGGAAGTGGGACCATCCAGGATGACGCGATGCAGCGCACCTCCTCCTGGCGCCAGAGGGGCACCCAGGTACGGCCAAAGGGGGTCAACATGCCCCCCAACCGTGACTCACACGAGAGCTACATCAAAGAGCTGGAGCACTACCTTGCGCGGGTCGAGTCCGATCCGGAAGTCTTCGAAAACGAAGTGAGGAGGCGACGATGTGGGCGATGTGGGCGGACTTTGATCTGGGCACTTGCATTGACAGTGCCGACGCCTCGCTCTGAGTCCAGCTATCGGGAGTAGCAGATCGCTGTGACAAAATTTCTCCTTGCACAGCGAGGGATCTTGGATGAGGCTATGCTAAGTAGCATCGTCCAAGGTCTCCTACAGAGACTTTGCATAGGTCCGTTGCAACATTATCCCCGTCAGCTGGCCCACTGCGACTGTGCTGACAGGCAGCCTTGTCGAGCTAGAAGAGATGTGGCTTCTCCTCACATAAAGGAAGGTCATGGGTTTAGGAAGTGCTCGGATTTCCTCATGTTTACAAACTCTACCTTTAGGCATCCCGCCGCAGAGTTTTTCGCTCGATTCGAGGAGCAGCTGCATGCTTCACGAAGAGTTTGTCAAACCTGTGCTGTCACGACCCATGCTCACGCACTGGGATACGGCTGATGCTGCAGCCGCCGCCGGCTCAACGTTTGATTCATCTGGTGATTGACCTAACTTATGGCCCTTTAGGGGGGCCCGCACTATAAGGCGGCCCCTCTTAGTTTAGGGCACCCAAAACAAAGGACCTAATTCTGAGAACCCACCATCTATCTATTCAGTTGCAGGCAGTGGCAGGTGGCTGAAGAGAGCCACGAAGGTTTTGTCGCGGCAGTCACGACTGTTCGCGTGGAATCGTGCTCGCTTAGGTCCCCCAAGACTTATAAGTGATGTTTGTCTGTCAACATTTGCCCGCAGAGAGCTGGCTGATGTGCCATTTGTACATGTGTTCTCGGGGACCTGGAGCCTATTCTTAAACATCCCGCGATCTTCGACTACCTGCGCTCGGGGAAGTTCCATCTGCCCACGCTCGCACATATGGAGTGCCGGCCCAGGTGCTCAGGCGGACAATGTCCGCGCAGATGTCGCGGGAGGTTTTCGTAGAAGCAGTGCTCCGAGATACAGCCGGTCTGCGCTGTTGCACAATTCAGAATTGGGAAATTTTCGCCGCCTGGCGCCCGTATCCAAAGGTTCATGTGGGCAGTTCTCCAAGTCGTCTGCATTTTGGGTCATGAGAATTCGCGTGCAGTATCTTCTTGGCGTCCCCAAAAATTTGACTTTCAGTGGTAGAACTACCCATATACAGACCTTGCCAGGTGTTGCGGAAAGGCCCTAGCAGCACGCTGTAGAGGGCCGAAGAATGTTCGTGACCGTCCAGGCCACCGCGCATCGACTGCGCCCAAACAAGGGTCCCTGAATTTCGCTGCATTCTCCTAGTGTATCCCTAAACCCTAAACCCTAAACCCTAGACCCTAAACCCTAAACCCTAAACCGCTAGGGGACCCTGGAGCAAGTGCTTCCGCCAGCGATCTCACTCAGAGTACATTTGAAGCCACTGATTCCCAGACTTTGTGTACATAGTACGGTAGCTTAGATATCTACCAGCTATCTCTTAATATCTGCAACAATGTATACAATATGAACGCAAGCAGCCCATCTCTCTAATTTGTTTGGCAGTGGCAGGCCAAGTTACGATAGTGACAAGTCCGCTCAGATTTCATGGGCGGGTCTATTGCCGGGGATGCAGCCATTCACAATGTTGGCTTCATTAGGCATCTGTCGAAGATCAGCTCGTGCGTGTGGATGAGGCGACAAAGGTTTAGGGTTTAGGGTTTAGGGAGTAGGGGTTAGGGTGTAAGGTTAAGCGCTTGTGGTTGCAAGAGCCGGGGCGGTTCCGATGTTTCATCAGATCTTTGTATGTCTGAACCCCTGGACCCGAAACATCAGGAAACCCTCACTGCGCACCAAACCCTAAACCCTAAACCCTAAACCCTAAACCCTAAACCCTAAACCCTAAACCGTGTAGCCCAGGACCCAGGGTGGGGTTTTATTCCCTTTTTGTTTAGGGTTTAGGCTCCCTTTACAAGCCCCTGCAGGCCAAAAAGGGTACCCTGTTGCATTCCTAGGTTACTCTTGGGTGAGCCTAAACCCTAAACCCTAAACCCTAAACCCTAAACCCTAGACCGTAGACCCTAGACCCTAAACCCTAAACCCTGTTTATTCTCAGGCTGCTCTTGGGTCTAGAGCACAGCAGTTGGAACCCCCCAGCTTCGCACTCTACAGCCCAAGCCCTAAACCCTAAAGTACCAAGATTCCAAACGATCCCTGAGACCCCAAGGCCACCCCTAAACCCTAAACCTATAAACCCTATAAACCCAAAACAAAACCTACAAACCCTATAAGCCCTATAAACCCTATAAACCCCACAAGCCCTATAAACCCTACAAGCCCTATAAAGCCTATAAACCCCATAAACCCTATAGGCCCTATAAACCCTATAAGCCCTATAAAGCCTATAAACCCCATAAACCCTGTAAACCCTACACCGTGGAGAAGGTGCAGGGCAAAGGGGTCTTCAGACCTCCCGGCGAGGCTGTCACTGCGGCCTGGCATGAGTACTGGATTAGGTTTTCAGGGTTTAGGGTTTAGGGTTTAGGGTTTAGGGTTTATAGGGTTTAGGGCTAGAGTTTCAGGGCTTCGGGGCTCCAGGGTTTCAGGGTTGAGAGTCTCAGGGTTTTAGGGTTTTGGGGTTTGGTGAGGGTGAGTGTGGGGTGTAAGGGTTTCAGAGCTTTAGGGGCTTTAGGGGTCCTAACATTGGGCTTAGGGTTTAGGATGAGGCAGTCAGGCTTTCAGTGTTTTTTGTGGGCTGCTTGCGGGTTTTAGGGCTCAGGTTTTTGAGTTTTTAGGGCTGAGGGCAGTTTGGGGGAAGGTTGCTGACTCTATGCGGAGAGGATCCGGGTGCGAGATGTTTAGGTATTAGGGTCTAGAGTTCAAGGAACCCCTTCCCTCTTAGACTTAGACTAAACCCACCCTAATTAAGAAAATGATTTTCTCTGACCCTCCCGGCACCCAGCCCAACACTAAACCTGTTTGAGGGTTAGAGGGCCTCCGCCCTACAGGCTGCAGCTTTACTATAAACCCCTTGGGAATTGTTTTTTTTATTGCTTTTATATAAAACCCAAGAGGGTATTTAAAATAACATTTTAATTAAGGTTCTAAGGGGAGTATAGTTTATTCGCTAGTTGCCAGCCGGCCTTGGCTGCCTCTACGGGAAGCTCAAGGGCTGCCAACTGGAGAATCTCTGCCAAAGGCTGCGATTGGTCGCAGTCACCAGTTAGTTGTCACATGTCTCTCTTTTTCGGGGCGCCCACCCCGCCCCCCCCCAGCCCCACCCCCCCGCCCCCCCCGCCCCCCCGCCCCCCCGCCCCCCCGCCCCGCCCCACCCCAACCCCCCCACCCAACCCCCAATTTTTTCACTGATTTTTCCGACGCGATTTTTTGAATCAAGGGGGGGGCGGGTGGGTGGGCGTGTTTCGGTATTGGGGGAAGCGAATGAGGCATTAGGATTCAGGGATGCTTGGGGATACGGATACGGCTCAAATTTGTCGGTGTTCAGTGGAGGTTCCGAGTGCGCCGGCAAGGGGGGTTGCCTTAACATTTTATGACCGCCTTGACCTTCATGTAGGTCAAGAGGGTCAAGAGGGTCAAGATTGTCAAGATCGTCAAGAAGGTCAAGAAGGTCAAGAAGGTCGTCAAGAAGGACAAGAGCGTCAAGAGCATCAAAAAGGACATGTGATTTACCGCCGCCGCCCCCCCCCCCCTTCCGTGGCTGGGGGTGTGCAGGGTAAGTATAAGGCCTGTAGAACAATGTGGGTTTGGGGGCTTAGGGGTTAGGAGGGGTCGGAGTTTTGGGGGGTGTTCTGGTCGCAGAACCCGAAGCCGAGCCAAAGCCCTTCAAGGCCAAAACTTTTGGGATGGTAGGGTTTAGGGTTTAGGGTTTAGGGTTTAGGGTTTAGGGTTTAGGGTTTAGGGTTTAGGGGTGAGGGTTCCTGCAGCTCGCCTTGGCTGAGGTTGGTCCGGAAGACATGCAGGCTTCATACGCCGAGCACTTAGATCGCCGAGAGTGTTGGGAGCCCTTAGCGCTCAACCCTTAGCCCTACACCCCAAATCCTAAGCCCTCAACCGTAAACCCTAAACCCTAAACCCTAATCTAGGACCCTTAAGCCCCCAAGGGCCCTCAAAGTTGGGAGCTGTTCGCCAGTTGACCTTTGCAGCTGCAGAGCCGTGAGCCCCCCCACAACCCCGGCTCCTTTCAGCCGGGTTCAGGGTTTAGGGTTTAGGGTTTAGGGTTTAGGGTTTAGGGTTTAGTAATTAGGGTTTAGGGCTGAAGTTTAGGGTTTAGGGTTTAGGGTCTCTAGAACCCCGAAAGCCCCTGAGCCCTGTTCCTTAGAACCCAGCAGCTGTTGCAGCGCATGCCAGAAATCCGCCTTCTGTGGCAGCGCAGGTTCTGCAGCACATTTTCCCCGACGAGTCTGTGAAGGAACCGGGGACGACAAAGTAAAGAATCAACCCCAAAACCCTCTCAACCCTATCAACGCTATCAATCCTGTCAACCCTATAAGCCCATAAAACCGAAACCTGAACCCTAAGCCCGAAACCCTAAACCCCATAAAGCCCTATGAAGCCGAAACCCGAAACCTGAACAGTGTCAGGCTCGGAGTTTGCTTGCAGATCGGGAGCGGGGAACAGGTTCGGAGAGTAAGAATGCGGCTTTTATCGCGCAGCAAATGATCTTCAACTGTTCGGAGCTCAACTTGTCAAAGTCTGCAACCCTATGAGACCTACAAGCCTTCGAATCCTTAAACCCTATACCCTTGGTTTTTCTTGGAAGCTCAAAATCATACAGGGCTTGAGCCCCAGGATTCCTTCAGGCACTCAAGCTGCATGGCCTAAACCCTAAACCCTAATTTAAGCCCTGAACCCTAAACCCGAAACCCTAAACCCTAAACCCTAGTGTTGCACAAAAACACGCTCGAAACAAAGGCTCGTGTCGTAGTGAGCAGCTCGCCTCATACACCTGGCGCCCTCAACCCTGCGGGGGTTCTTCTCCTGCATTTATTTGGTACAGCTTTTAACATAGCAAATGGCATAAGAAACAGCATTCAGGTACTTTGTGCGGAGTAAGTAATCCACATGCGCCCTTGACCCTGCGGGGGTTTTAGGTTTATAGGGATTATGGGTTTAGGCACCCTACTTCGGAACAAGCCCCCCCGCGCCCCACACTAAACCCTAAACCCTAAACCCTAAACCCTAAACCCTAAACCCTAAACCCTAAACCCTAAACCCTAAACCCTAAACCCTAAACCCTAAACCCAAGATAGCCCATGTCAGAGCCCCCACGAGGATCCCAAGCCGGATCCCATAGGCGACACAGGCTTTGCCGGGGAGCGTTGAGCGGTTAGAGTGTAGGGTTTAGGGGTTGCTCAGGATACTGAAATCCGAGGAGTTTGGAGTCTTGAGACTTTCGGGTCTTATGCAATTCTAGTTGATGTCCCCAAACAGGGGTACCCCCCCCCCCCCCCCCCCGCCCCCAAACAATACAAGCAAGAAAACTCTGATCCTTTTAGGAAGAGCCACTAAAATGGTGGCCTGTTTTGGGATTTTATCTGTTTGGCTACACATGGTCATTTCTCTAAACCTGATCCCTAGTCTTGTAAGGGCCCCCCCGAAATATTTTGGGCACCCCGAGCGGGACCATGATTTTGAGAAGTGGCCACAGATATTGTTACGACATCATGACATTTTGAGGGTCGTGAAGCCTGCTACACCTGCACCCGACCCACACGGTGCAATCCAGCGAGCATCTCTCTTTTGCCTTGGTTCCTACCAATCCTACAGCCACAGCCCTAAACCCTAAACCCTAAACCCTAAACCCTAAACCCTAAACCTTAAACCCTAAACCCTAAACCCTAAACCCTAAACCCTAAACCCTACGCCTCCTACAAGATATGGAGGCAAAGGGCTGAGGGTTTAGGGACCAGGGCACCAGCAGTTGCCAAACTTGCAGAGCACCCAATGACCTCCTTGTTCGCGCCAAGCTGGCCCGCAGACCCTTACTGGTTTAGGGTTTAGGGTTTGGGGTTCAGGGTTTGGGTTTAGGGTTTGGGGTTTAGGGTTTAGGGTTGAGGTTGTAGTTTTTGGAGCTTTGCGATTAGGGGCATGTCAGTTGGGTCTTCGCTCCAGTTGTTTACCCCTTCACTGTTGGGACCATGTGGCTGTGGTATGTGTATTGCTGAGGCTTACATGTGAAGGGTTTAGGGTTGAGGGTTGAGGGTTGAGGGTTTAGGGGGCGGGCGCTGTTTGAGAAAGCTGGGGAAAGCTTTGTCCTGGGAGATCTACCTTGGACCCTGTTTAGTTCGGCTTCAGGGTGTAGGGTTTAGGGTTTAGGGTTTAGGGTCTAGGGTCTAGGGTTTAGGGCCATGTTTTGGGAGTAGCACAGGGAGCATATTCAGGGAAGCTCTTTGGGGTACAACCTTCGGGGTCCAAGTATGACTCTCTTGATTTTGGGCCTAGGGCCTGGGGTTGGCGCAGGTGTTGTTGCATCCGAAAGATGTGCCATCGATGGCAAGGACAGGGCAAAATAGGGGGTCGGTTCCCAAACACGGGGATTACAGTATTGGGGTACCCTCCTTCAGGAATACCCGTATATCTGACCATTATGCAACCAGGCTTGATTCCAGGCCTCTCTGCGGCTAGGACCGGATAGGAACTTAAAACCCCAAATCCCAATCCCTCAACCCTAAGCCCGAAAAACCCAAACGATTGCAAGAAACCCTAAGTTCTGCATTCCTAACCAACTGACCCTGGAACCCTCGCACCCTTCAGGTTTCAATCAGTACAGGAAATATTATTATATATATATCATATATATATATATATTTATATTTATTTATTTATTTATAGATATAAAATATATTTTCCTTTACGCAAAATCAGAGAGAGAGAGAGAGTGCGTGCTATATATATATGTATATATGTATGCATGTAATGCTTCAGAACATAAAATCGTTGTTGCAGGCAGGAGATACTGCCACAGCGCACAACTTGCGCACAGCGCGCGCTGCAAAACATCTAGCGAACGCAACGCCGCAAATATCATTTGGGCAGTTCCCAAAAGAGGGGTACCCCGTTTATACCCCCAAGTAGAATAGAACCCCCTTACAAGGGACCCTAAACCCTTAACCCTTAACCCTAAACCCTAAACCCTAAACCCTATGTTCGGAAACCCCCCCCCCCACCCCCCCGTACGTGCGTTAGACCTCGGGTCCAAGCTTGGGCCCATTAAGTTATTATTGTTCTCTTGTTCGTTCCTCACGCCTTAATAATAAAAGGAGAGAACGTAGTGAAAGATATGAATAAGGCTGTAGCATTATAAAGGGAGCATTCGCAAGCTCATTAAATTTAATATTATTGTGTTCTTACCGCCCGGTATTTTAAGTGAAAGAAGTTTATGGGCGGTTGTTACACCTTTAATGAAGATATAAGTAGTGAATGTAATGCATTTGTAAGGAATGAATGAATGAAGTGAATGAAAGACGCACGAAATGCATGAGTGAACGAATGAATGGGCGTGTTCACTTTGTTCACACTGTACTATTCTATTATTCACGCGGGAACATGTGAACAAATGAGAGCCCAAATACTAATAATAATTACAAGGTAAATAGAATGCCAAGAGAATTATATTATTTTGTAGGGATTATTTCCCTGGAGCTCCAAGGCTTTGCAGTCAAAAGCCAAGCTTTACGTTGCAGCTTTTAGGTTTAGGGTTTAGGGTTTAGGGTTCAGAGTTCGTTATATCGGTCGCATCATCATCAGATCATCAAACTGGCAGTCGCTGGCCGACTGCTTTTTCGTTATCATATAAAGAGAGCACAGGTGATTGCAGCAATACCGCTGTTCCTGTTTATGCCTGTGAGTATTCTGACTCTTTGTTCGTTGGCGTCTTATATCATAGGCCTCAGCTCGGAGTCCTCGAGGATGACCGAAATCCTAAACTTGAATCCTAAAGCCTAAACCCTAAACCCCAAACCCCAAACCCCAAACCCCAAACCCCAAACCCTAAACCCTAAACCCTAAACCCTATAAACCTTAAATCCCAACCCTAAACCCTTAACCCTGAACCCTAAACCTTGAATTCCACCTCCGAGATGATAAAACGCCTTTTCCCGGACGGGCCAGGCCTCTAGATCCCTATGGCCCCTAAGCTCCCTAGACGCCAAAAAGGGTTTGGGGTTTAGGGGTTAGGGTTTAGGGTCCCTTAAATCCCTTACAGTAAACCCCCAAAAGTTGGAACATCATTATCTTTATACCCCAAGAGGGTTACTAAAGGGAATCCCAGCACAAAACGTCCTTAAACCATGGTCCAACTTCACGGAGTTTACGCCCCCCGCCGCCCCCACAAAAACAAATACACAAAATAGTAGTTGTTAAAAAAAGTTCGGGAACTGTAGCCCGAAAATGTGGGTTTCTTAAGGTTAGCCCGAAGTTTCTCAAAGCCGCGCATTTTCGCTTCGTGTTCGCAGGACTCATCTGAGGCGACCCAGGAGCCAGACGAGGCGATTTCACAAAGGTGTTCGTTTTGCATGAGGTGTTAGGGGCATTTCAGACCCTAAATCCTAAACCCTAAACCCTAAGTCTGAAGAGATTCTTGGTTGGCGGGCTGGGGTTCAGTTGTTCAGTTGTTGTAGGGTCCGGGTTGGGGCCTATCAGGTTTGTTGAGGGGGATAGGGTGGTTGGGGATGGTTTGGTTGCGAAGAATTTGCCCAATGTTGCACTGGCTGTCTGCTTGCTTCCAATCATGAATTGCGTGGTGGTCCTATGCCCTTGGCTCGATAACTATTAAGTGCCAATTTAGGGATTTCTCGGGTTTAGAGGTTTAGGGTATGCCCCTATCCCGAGAGCCTCATGAGCAGACACGACCTCGAAACTCAAGCCCTAAAAGTCGTAGCCTTGTTTTTATTTAGGGGTGAGAAGGACAAGGATGAGGTGGAAAACTCGGCTTTTGCTTACTGTTGGCTAGCAGGGAATGAGGGAATCAGGGAAGTATGTATACCCTTTAAGGGATGATATAGCGTACCTCATTCCCCAATTTTCCTACTAACCAACAGTAAGTTTGCAACTCTCGTCCGCTTTCAGCTGGATGCCTTTCGCCACCAGGCCATCAGGAGCCGACGGCCCAGCCGAGAGAAGGCAGGCCTTATTAGTTGGAACAGGGTTTTGGGAGATATTATCTAGATATTCTTGTACATTCATACAGGGACCACTCTTTGCCGACCACTTTTTTTATAATCTTAAGTATGCCTTTTGAGACTTGTGCCGCTCGAGAGTTTGGGCTGTTGGGGTTTGGGAGGACTTTCGGTCCTTTCTTCATGACGTTTCTCATGTTTAGGGTTTAGGGTTTAGGGTTTAGGGATTTAGGGTCTACCACCGAAGCAGAACCGACTTCACCTTTTAGGGCTTAGGGCAGTTTAGGGTTTAGGGTTTAGGGTTTAGGGTTTAGGGTTTAGGGTTTAGGGTTTAGGGTTTAGGGTTTAGGGTTTAGGGTTTAGGGTTTAGGGTTTAGGGTCGGAATCGCAGCGAAGCGCAATGCCAGTGTATGTAGCAGCCCCAGGCAAGGGCATGGTGTGTGATGGAGCCGCGTTGCTTGCGATAACCCATGTGACAAGTCCCTGCTCCCCTAACCCTAAACCCTAAACCCTAAACCCTAAACCCTAAACCCTAAACCCTAAACCCTAAACCCTGAACCCTGAACCCTAAACCCTAAACCCTAAACCCTAAACCCTAAACTCATCAGCTGGGTTTCTGTGATTCTGCGAAGCCAGGGCTGCGATTTTGACTGCTACATCGGGGGGCGGGGGGGGGGGTGGGGGGTGCAGTGGCCCACCCTTGCCACATGGGGGGTTCCCCAAATTCCGGTACCCCTAAACCCTAAACAATCAATGCTCAGTTAGCGTCATCCGTTCCATCAGGTCATGGGTTCAGGGTTTGGGGTTTAGGGTTTAGGGTTTAGGGTTTAGGGTTTAGGCACACCAGACTCCATCAGCAGCATCGTATACATCGTTCGAGCACATTCAAAATCCTCACAGCTCCCAGCTTTCTTAGGGCCCCAGGTCGAGCCTTGCATCTAGTTGCGCAATCTGCTGCAGGGATCATATAACGCTTACGTATATAGAGCGTATACAAAGACATATGCCTAAGTTGCCCCCCGAAAACGCCCTAAATAAATAAAACAAATACATATACAGAAAGGGACCCATTGAAGGTGCGCGTTTTTCAGTTTTCGGTTTTCAAGAATTTCAGGGTTGGGGTTTAGGTTCTCAGGATTTTCGGGGTTGGGGTTTGGTTTTGAAGGCTGGGCATAAATAAATAGAGATATATATATATATATTTCTGTAGAAATTGTCCAGAATGAGCTGCGTATCCCCTCAGCCGTATGCGTCTTGCAAAGGGGAGATTCCCCCCCCCCCCCCACCCCTACTTTAAATGGGGCCTCTGAGAGGCCTAGCCACTCCCCGAAAGCCTCCACCACTCCAGAACATTAAAACATTTTAAAATACATATACATGTAGTTTTTATTATAAATGCAAGTGAGCAAACAATTATACACGAAAAAAATAGCTTTTTAGAGAACCCCTATAGGCTCCGTTTGGATAGGAGGGGTCGCTCCAGTAGTCTGTTTGATTGATCCGCCCGGGTCACGGCAGGTGCGACGGCGCTCAGTCCTCCGCGAAGGGCGAAAGTCACAGAAGAGCAAGGCTGCCGAGTTGTTGAAGGAGGGCTGCTTGGCCTCCAAAAGCTCCATTTTGATGTGCAAGTGGGGTTCAGGAGCTATCGCGCTGTGTTGGGGGTTTGGGGCTTAAAGGGTTACACATTCTGGGGGGGAAACCCCTAAAAGATTCCTGTTCACACAGTGGCAAGGCCCCGAAATGCCCGAACCGCACCCGAGAGACGAGCAGCCAAGGATTTGGGCTGGGGCAGAGCGATGCATCCACGGCCAACAGTGGCACGGATGCCGTGGAGGTGCACAGCAAGGCGCAATCGGAAGCCACGGAGGACGAGAAGAGCAAGGAGGTGGTCCAAGATGGGGAGGAGAAGCTTCGTCAGCCCTCTGCAGACATCCTGCCGGGGCCGGTCGAGCTGAGTGATGGCCCTCTTGAGGTGGGCGTGTTCCTAAAATGTCGTGCGTACCAACTTCTGTGCACAAAGCTCGGCAATCCGTCTAATGTATCGGACCCCTTCAAGAAGTAACCGTAAGCCTTAACCACCTTAACCCCAAAAGCTCGAGCCTTGAGCCCCCATGCCAAAGCCCTAAATTCTCCGACCCTAATTTAGGCAACCCCCCTACAACAAAGCCCTACAAGGCCCTCAGCCCCCAAGAATCGGAGAATCGGCAACCCTAAACCCCCCCCCCCCCCCCCCTGCAGGTGCCGCCACCATCAGGTGAGCTACCCTGGGCCCCTGCCAACAACGACCCTGAGGATGCGAATAGGGAGCAGGTGGCGCAGGACCCTCAACCCTCAACCGTAAACCCTAAGCCCTAAACCCTAAGCCCTGTTAGGGCTTAGGATGTCGGGGGTAGGGGTTCCCTAAACTCTCAAACCCCATGGCTCCCGGAGGACCCTCAACCCCCCCCCCCCCCAAAAAAAAAAACAGAAAAAGAAAAAAACGCTTCCCGCGCCCCCTCAAACCCCCTGACGTTGAAACCCTGAAAATGTTGTCATTTTTGAGAGCCGGACGCGCTTGTGTGTTTGTATGTGTGCGTGTGTGTTTTCTCCGACCTCCGTGTTAAAGGCCGCCTGGATGGAGGAATTGCTTCTAGAGCGAACCGATGTGGCAGTGGCACCACAAGAGTTTAGGGGGTGTAGGCCCCAACCCTCAACCCTTGACTTTTGCTACGTGGGAGTTGCACTTTCGACTTTATCGCGGCGAGGGGAGGGGATTCTATACAGCAGGAACCCTGACAAGAAGAAGGACCCCGCCCCCCCTCCCCCAAGCCCAACAACACACAGTTTAGAACAACCCCCGTGTCATGTCGGTCTCTGTATGTGTGTGTGTGTGTGCGCGAAACCCTAAACCCTAAACCCTGCACACCAGGAGGCGTCGACACTCGCGGAGCCCGACCGCCCCTTCATCGAGGAGGCAGCCCCGGAGGTCATCTCGGCTGCAGACAAGGGTGTGGCAGAGGACAAGGAGCGCAGGTTTAGGGTTTAGGGTTTAGGGTTTAGGGTTTAGGGTTTAGGGTTTGGGTTCTTAAGTAAAATGACTGGGGATACTCAACATGTTGTTCTGACAAAATGGTTTCAATTCAAGGAGAGGTATGGAAGTTTGGGTGTACTTGCTGCTGGTTGATAGGAAATGGAGATTTTGGAATGGGGTCTGAGTGCAGTTGCTACTTGTGGCCCTTCCTTGTCTACTACGAAAGTTACGGGGCTTGGGGGTTTGTAGCGTTGCACAGGTTGCAAGCGCTTGGAAAGTTTTGGCGGGCGTTTTGGAAAGGAGCCCAGCGATGACAAGGCCGTCGATCTCACAGCAGACAAGGACCATGGTGCGTTGCGCGACCCTGAACCCTGAACCCTGAACCCTGAGCCCTGAGCCCTCAACCCTAAACCCTAAACCCTAACCCTAAACCCTAAACCCTAAACCCTAAACCCCAAACCCTAGCCCTAAACACCTAAACCCTAAACCCGGCTCAGGGCAGTCCTTCCTTCGTGGGTGGTTGTGCCAAGGGCAGTGGGCATCGTCGGCACGGCTGAAGTTTTCCTGGAAGCAGGAAGGAATTCCCCTTGTTGCCCTGATCCCTCAACCCTAAACCCTAAACCCTACTAAACCCCAAACCCTAAACATGGAAGAGGATAGATACTCCTGGGCATCCAAAGGAGTTGAGCGTGATATGGGGTTTCGGAAAAGTAGGGGTACCCTTTTGCGGGGTCCCCTCAAGGACTTTCTATTCTATTTGGACAACAAAACGGGGTGCCCTTATTCTGGGAAACCCCCATATAGGGGCCTGAATAAAGGGACCATAAGGGAATAGTGTTTAACCCTAAACCCTAAACCCTAAACCCTAAACCCTAAACCCTGGACCATCAGGGAATAGCACTTATTCGACCCCTATATGGAGCCCTAACTCCCACGTTTCGAAAGCAGCCGCCACCCGAGGTTCCTGGCATGCAGCGGGGTTTAGGGTTTAGGGTTTAGGGTTTAGGGTTTAGGGTTTAGGGTTTAGGGTTTAGGGTAACTTGGCCAACAATTGAACTTTATCTTTTTCGGTTCCTTATTTTGTAGGAAAAATTAAGTTTAAGCTTTTTGTCCGCTGGCTATTCGAGATGTAAGTTCCAATCCCGGTGCTGGCAAAGACCAAGCAAAGCCACAAACATCAGCAACACAAACCCTCCAAACCCTCCAAACCCTCCAACCCCTAAACCCTAAACCCTAAACCCTAAACCCTAAACCCTAAACCCTAAATCCTCAACAAACGACAGAGGCCCTCCAAGGCGAAACAGAAACCAACCACATAGTATAGGGGCCTTCATCATTTGAATACGGTTTTGGGGTTATCAGAGTAGACTTCTATAGGGACCAACAGGGAATCCGAAAGACCAGCAGGGTAGTAGCCCTGAACCCTTTAGGGTTTAGGGTTTAGGGTTTAGGGTTTATGGTATAACCCCTAAGCCTTAAAACCGACCCCTGTAGTACCCAACCGAGGGCCAGACTCAATGACACAACCACCCGCCCCCCGAGCTGCCAGGGTTTAGGGTTTAGGGTTTAGGAAGCTGTCTCCCGGAACCCCAACCCTAAAACCATAACGCCTTTTCCAGATTTGGGCAGAGGAGAAGACCCGGTCGTATAAAACCTCAAACGCCCCAAAAACCCGAGGACCGGCCATAAACAGCTTACATATCTTGGGTGATCAACATGTGCAAGGGTTCAAGCAGGTCTTAGTCATACTTATGGCCCAAATAGGATATAGAAGGGAGTAGAGGAGGGCTCCAAATTCATGAGCTCCCTTGAAGCTACCTAAACGTTTTGGGGCCTACAGCCCTTAATCCAAGACCACAGAGGACGAAGGAGCCGATGTTGCTGGGCCCAGCCTACCGGCCTCACGGCCCTCCACGTCTCTTTGTCGCAGGTGGCTTTACAGGCCTTCAAGGGTTGAGGGTTTTGGGGTTTTGGGGTTTAGGGTTTAGGGTTTAGGGTTTAGGGTTTAGGGTTGAAACCCTTTAAGGCCCTCGGACTAAACTTGGGGTTTGGGCTTTTGGGTTTAGGGTTGGGATGTTCCCCCGCATACTGGCAGTCCTTAATAGGGATTATCGAACCCCCTGTTAAAATCCCCCTCAAGGACTGGTAGTATAAGAAAACACATCCCAAGTTTAGGGTCTGGAACACAGGCTGAGGTTGGTCAGGGTAGGCTTTAGGGTTTAGGGTTTAGGGTTTAGGGTTTAGGGTTTAGGGTTTAGGGTTTAGGGTTTAGGGTTTAGGGTGAAGGGGTTCGTTAGGCTCGGTGGCGTCAAAGTAAGTTGGAATTTGGTCATATCACATGTTGAGCCACGACGGCCTCCTTTGAAGGCGCCAAAAAAACACAAACCATGAACCCTAAAGGCCCCCGCCCCAAACCCTGTAAACCCTATACTACAAACCCTTCAAAGCCTTCAAACCCCAGAAACCCTACAAACCCTGTAAACCCTATAAAGCCTTCAAATCCAGAAACGCTAGAAACTCTAGACACCTATCAACCCTAGAAACTCTAGAGACCCTGTAAACCCTATACCTGGAAACCCTGCAAACCCTATAAACCCTGTAGGCCCTATAAGCCCTGTAAACCCTCTTAACACTAAAAGCCCTAGAAACCATGTAAACCCTTTAAACCCTACAAATCCTATAAACCCTATAAACCCAAAAAAGCCCTACAAACCCAGGAAACCCTAGAAGCCCTGGAAACCCTGTAACCCTGGAAGCCCCATAAACCCTGCAACCCTTCAAAGCCTACAAACCGCACAAACCCTGCAAACCCCAATAAACCCTACAAAACCCTTACAGAAACCCTACAAAACTCTTACATAAGCCCTATCTGAACCCTATAAACCCTAAACCCTAAACCCTAAACCCTATAAACCCCGAAAGTGAAAAGCCTGCAACGCTGAGGCCGGAGTCCCACCCGCCCGTGGCCAGCGAGCGCGAGCCGAGCCCCTCCCCGGTTCCGGCCGATGAGGCCCAGGTCAGCAAGGCGGGGGCTTGGCGTAGGGTTTAGGGCCCACTTTCCGAAGGCCACGCCTCAACCCGCTGCCTTGTCATAGGATGGGAATACACAGCAAGCCCCCTGAACAGACTTCTGAGCAACCCTAAACCCTGAACCCTAAACCCCAAACCCCAAACCCCAAACCCCAAACCCCAAACCCTAAACCCTAAACCCTAAACCCTAAGCCCCAACAACCGTTCCTGAAGTCGTTGATGTGCGGCTAAGGAGGCTGCGCACAGGGCCAGGCACGCGGCACTGCTCAGGATGGACTCGGAGTCGGAGGTGCAGGGGGAGGGTTTAGGGTTTAGGGTTGAGGGTTGAGGGTTGAGGGTTGAGGGTTGAGGGTTGAGGGTTGAGGGCTGGGGTTGAGGGGACTACAATTGAGGAGAGAGAGCGAGAGGCGAAAGTGCTCTTTTCAGTTCTTCCACTCTGAATTTCGATTGGTCTGTCATATTTTTCTCGAGGCCTCCCACGAGTTGAATCAGTCAGGGAATCACTCGACAAGCAGGAAACGGGTTTCTCACATGTTGGAGTCACGCTCCTGTGGAAGCAGCTCAGGTGGTTCGACGCCCTCAACGCGAAAACCTCAAACCCGGATGCCTTTGTTACTAACGCACTGCGAGCGACATGCCCAACCTCCCTCTACACACCAGCCAAGACCTGCAGGTTGTCCCCAAGACACACACACAGCAGAGACAATCCACCCGTACTCTCTATACCCTAGGCCCTCCCTCGCCTTGAGACCCAAATCCCTGGAAGCCGTTTAAAAAAGGTCTCGATGCCAGACTCAGATGCAGACTTGCCCCTGCCCAGCTCCCATGAGCTTGCCCAGGCGGGTGCTCATGGCACGGGAATCTGGCATCGAGGGTTCATGTTCTAGGCTATAGGGTTGAATTACGTATCGTCTTAAGACTCCCAGATGATTCCCCTTTTGGGTTCGCCTTCTCGAAGTGTCTTCAGGTACAGTATGATGGCCCCTCACCCTATCTAGGGTGCATGGGGCTCGGTAGCTGCCTTTTACATTGGCCATGACCAGTTCTGATGAATTGGCTTCTGAACGCTTGCTTGCCGTTGTCTCTTGCCTTAGGACTCACCATGGTGACTGCATGAAAGGGTATATGGGCCATCGAGCTCCGTGGGGATTTTCAGCAATATAGGGCCTGGTTCCTACAGGTCCCTTCGGGTGAGACAGCTGGCACATCTTGTAGACTACATCCTACCGAAGACCGGCACCACCACGAACCTCAGATCGTATCCCTTTACCTCACCCGAAGCCCGAAACTACCAGGCTCTGGGGCGTGTGCCAGCCACAAGCAGCAGGCCGTGGCAGAAGGCGAATCTACTGAAGGGAAGCCAGATCGGGGGCTGAAGGGTTGAGCTTGAACACCCCCCAAAATCCGAAACCCTAAGCGGCTGTTCCTTGCATAGAGACACCGATCTCGCCGGCTCTCCTAGAACCCGAGCCTTAATAATTCATGAATAGGGTTTAGGTTTTAAGCTTTAGTTGCCTTCGTGTTGAGTTGCCTTCTCACCGCAAAGTGTGGCCCCAACGCAAGGCGCACCCCTGGCGTGGCCGAGGACGGATCTGAACCCTAAACCGTAAACCCTAAACCCTAAACCCTAAACCCTAAACCCTATGAACCCCAGAGCCCTATAAGCCCTACAAGCCCTGACCAGTAGAAACTCTCAAGCCCTGCAAGCCCTGTAAACCTAATAAAACTCCAAAGCCCGGGTTTAGGGTTTAGGGTTTAGGGTTTAGGGTTTAGGCTTTAGCCCTTGCAAGTATATCAACCACGTAGGGTACGCTTAGGTTTCTAAGGGTCGTTATATGGCTCCTTAATCTGGGTCCACGGGTTTCAGAGGGTATATCAGGGGCATATAAGGAGTCCCCTTGCATGAAAGGGCCCAGATTATGGGACCATGTAACTCCCCTCAAGCGCGCTAAACGCTAAGCCCTCTTAACCCCAAACCTACCGTGAGTGAAGCCACAGGGTTTAGGGTTTAAGGTTTCGGGTTTAGGGTAAAAGGTTTAGGGTTTAGGGTTTAGGGTTTAGGGTGAAACCGCACTCCCACACAGAGGACCCGTGGTAGCCGCCAAAGGGCTCTGGTGCAGAGCCCAGCGCGCCTACGCTGAGGAGTGCGACTAAGGGCGATAAAAGGGTTTAGGGTTTAGGGATATAGGGTTTGGGTTTAGGGTTTAGGGTTTAGGGTTTAGGGCTAGAAAAGGTTTAGGGTTTAAGATTCAATCCCAGATCCACATGCCTCTAGCAGTGCCCGAGACGCATGGCGCACAGAAATCTCGAAACCCTATACACCCTCTAACTCGCCAAGCCCTAAGCCCTAAACCCTATAAACCCTAAACCCTGAACCCTAGACCTCCGCCCACGAACTTCGGAAGAAGCCGGCAAAACACTCCGAGCATGGCCGCGTCTGCAGGATTGTTTGAGCCACAGCCGCCCCGGCTCGCTCACGGATGAAGGCTCGGCTTAGGGTTTAGGGTTTGGGGTTTGGGGTTTAGGGTTTAGGGTTTAGGGTTTAGGGTTTAGGGTTTAGGGTTTAGGCCTAAGGGATTAGGGTTTACCTACATGCCTGCCCCAGTTCGGTATATTCGGACCATGCCGCCCCCGCGGAAGCAGCCATGCTGTAGCTTCCTCCAGTTCTTAGTCGGGACTCGGGGCCCTAATCCTAAACCCTAAACCCTAAACCCTAAACCCTAAACCCGAAGCCCTAAACCCCTCCCTTAATGATGCACCGCAGCCCTGAAAAGGGCGCCGAGTTCCCTCCTTCCCTGTGGCAAACCCAGTTCGTTTAGGCTTATCCGCATACACGCCGGTCGTCAATCTGCCCGAGGCCTCTAAGCCTGAATCTTACTGCTTAGTAGGGCATGACGGACTTTGGTATCCCTATACGAAAGTATATAAACCCGCAACCCTAAACCCTAAAACTTCAACCCACCATGAACCATATTGGGGGGAAGGGGAGAAACCTGGGGGGGGGGGGGGGCATGCCATGTGCTGCAATGAGCCATGCCACTCCCTCAACCCCCGAACCCCTAAGCTCCCAAACTCCCAAACCCGTAAACCCTAAACCCTAAACCCTGAAACCTCTTCTGAAGCTACGAACCCTGAAAACCCTACAGCCGGGAACCCTGCACCCTGAACCCTGTGAACCCTGTAACCTGTAAAATCCAAACCCGAAACCCCTAAACCTCTCAACCCCTAAACCCTCAGACCCCCCAAAGGAGCCTAAACCCTAAACCAAGCCCTAAACCCTAAACCCGAAACCCTTAGACCCTTAAACCCCTAAACCCTAAACCCCTAAACTAAGCCCTAGGCCCTAAACCCGAAACCCTAAACCCTTAGACCCTTGAACCCTAAACCCTAAACCCTAAACCCTAAACCCTAAACCCTAAACCCTAAACCCCTAAACCCCTAAACCCCTAAACCCCTAAACCCATGAGCTTTCCTGCGAGACTCCCCCCGCACCTTCGCGGGAACTCATTGGCTGACGGGCGGGAGGCGCGTTCTGTTTAGGGTTTTAGGGTTTTAGGGTTTTAGGGATTTTAGGGTTTTTAGGGTTTTTAGGGTTTTTAGGGTTTTAGGGTTTTAGGGTTTATAGGGTTTATAGGGTTTATAGGGTTTTCGGGTTTTCGGGTTTTAGGGTTTTAGGCTTTTCGGGTTTTAGGGTTTTAGGGTTTTAGGGATTTTAGGGTTTTTAGGGTTTTTAGGGTTTTGAGGGTTTTAGGGTTTTAGGGTTTATAGGGTTTATAGGGTTTATAGGGTTTTCGGGTTTTCGGGTTTTAGGGTTTTAGGCTTTTCGGGTTTTAGGGTTTTAGGGTTTTAGGGATTTTAGGGTTTTTAGGGTTTTTAGGGTTTTGAGGGTTTTAGGGTTTTAGGGTTTATAGGGTTTATAGGGTTTATAGGGTTTTCGGGTTTTCGGGTTTTAGGGTTTTAGGCTTTTCGGGTTTTAGGGTTTTAGGGTTTTAGGGATTTTAGGGTTTTTAGGGTTTAGGGTTTAGGAGCGTAGGGATTAGGAGTTTAAGGTTTAGGGCGTAGGGTTTAGAGGTGTAGGGTTTAGGGTTATAGGCCCAGGGTTTAGGGTTTTAGTGTTTCGGGGTTTTCGTATTTAGGGCTTTATTGAAGTTACGGGCCCTTCTGCGAGGGTACTCTAAAACCGTAAGGCATACAATCTACCGTGACAAGCAAAAAAGAACTGGGAGAAGGCCGGAAAGGTTTAGGGCTTGCATGGGCTTCAGAGTTTAGTAGGTCCGCTGTGCACGGGTATCTGGGAAACCCACCAAAAAAGGCGCGCACCCCAAACTCCCCCTAGAACCCGAAATCTGCCGCCCCAAAGCATGAAGGATTTAGGGTTTAGGCATTTAGGCATTAGGGTGATCCTCAAACCCCAAACCTTAAATCCTACACTATGCACAGCCTACCTGAGGTGGGAGGAGCTTCTGAAGAGGCGCCGCTGGCGGTCCCCAAGTGACAGAGAGAGAGAGAGAGAGAGAGAGATTCAGGGGTTCAGGGGCCTGCGGGATTTTGGGTTTAGGGGTTGGGGAGTTGGGGGTTTGAGGGGTTTAAGGCTTTAGGGCGCTGGGGGTTTAGGGTTTTAGGGGTGTAGGGTGCTAAGGTTTCAGCGCTTTAGCATTTCCCTGTTCTAAGTTTAGGCTGCGAGTTAGCTGTGCGTAGTGCTTGGCAGTAGCCGTAAACCCTACACCCTGGCGCACTCGGAGAAGAGTGACTCCAGTTTCAAAACAAAAGACCTAACATCTAAACCCTAAACCTCTAGGGTTCGCCCAGCAGAAGCCCCAAAAGCCGAATCCCTAAACCCGAACAGCCTCAATGTCCTAAGCCTTAACCCCAAACCATGTATGGGGGGTTTACGATATTGACGGACCCCTAACGTTCCCATTCTTATAAGGACCTCAAGTTGGTGTCCCTTATGTCGGACACCCTCATAGGGTTTAGGGTTTAGGGTTTAGGGTTTAGGGTTTAGGGTTTAGGGTCCCAAGCTCTTGACTGCCTTAATGAAGCGTGAGCTGCTGCATTTGGCTCGAGCAGACCGAACGTTTGCCATCAAGTCAACCTTTAGTTGACCTCGCCCCTGCCTCGCACGAGCAGCATGGTTGCAGTTAAACCCTAAACCCTAAACCCTAAACCCTGAACCCTGAACCCTAAACCCTAAACCCTAAGCGGAAGAGGTTGTCGCATAAAGTCGCCATGTGGAACGGGAGCTAGGGGGCTGCCAGCTTCGATGGCCACACCCTAAACCCTAAACCCTAAACCCTAAACCCTAAACCCTAAACCCTAAACCCTAAACCCTAAACCCTGAACCCTACAAACCCCAAACCCTTCACCCACCTCCCCCCCCCCCCCCCCCCCCACCCCCCCCCCCCCCCCCCCCCCCCCTCCAACACCCTCACCCACGAGCCTCATAAACCTCTAGGGTTTAGGGTTCGGAATAATTACTATTAGTATTCCCTTATGGTCCCTTTATATTTATGCTACATTAACCCCCCCAAATCCTATTCTAATTATTCTAGGGTATCGGGTTTAGGCTCTCATCTCCTCCGAGAGCGACCCTCGCCGCCGAATTTCCGTGGCGGTTTTCGGGCTTCTGGGGGGTGAAGTTCGGGTCTAGGGTTTGATGCGGTACGTAGTGTGCAACATGTAGCACCCAACATGCAACATATGGCATAGAGCTATATAGCACTGAAACTATAACTTGCACCCTGTAGCTCCACACATAAGACTACATGTAGAAGTCCACACGTCACGTATAGCATGTGACATGTGACATACAGGAACCGTGCAACCGTATACACAGCACAGCGCATCTTAAGCAATCTTGGCAGTCCCAGTGGTACCCTTTACCCTTTTGTTGCTTCTAGGCTCCCTTATAAAGTACCCAACCCAAAGTAGGAAACCCCTGTTAAAATATACCCTAAACCCTATAAACCCTAAACCCCTGTTACAATATGGTTACTGGGCTAGGCAGTTTGCATTCTTTTACACCACATTTAAGCTGGGCTAAGTCAGCTTAGCTTTTGGCGGGGCATCCTTGGAACCCTAAACCCTAAACCCTAAACCCTAAACCCTAAACCCTAAACCCTAAACCCTAAACCCTAAACCCTAAACCCTAAACCCTAAACCCTATGAACATGAAGCACCAGCACAAACTCCAAGGTCGCCGACATGGCCCGAGCTCTGCTTCGCAGCCTCAACATGAGGGGGGAGGGATTCCGAAATGAGGAGAAACCCTAAACCCTAAACCCTAAACCCTAAACCCTAAACCCTAAACCCCATACCCTAAACCCCTTATGAAAAGGGAGATCCTGCTCTGTTGGGGGGTCGATATGACCCCCCCCCCCCCTTATTCTCGTAATCTCCCAGATGATTGTGCGGGGTTCGAGCTGGCTTTGGCATTTTTAGGGTTTTGTTGGTGTTCTTAGTGCTTTCCCGTTTCTTTTTCTATAGGGTTTGGTTTTAAGTGTTGTTGGGCTTTGTTTGTTGAGTGTTTTTTCCGGGTTACTGGGTTTTGGGCCCTATTACAATCCTTGTTAAGGACTGTTAGTATACTCCCAAGTTTCCACCTAACCCCCAAGTCCCAACACGCTAAAGCCCTGAAGTCTCAGTGTAGGAGGCTGTGGATGCGGTTCAAGGCCATCCAACCTCGAAACCCTCGAAGGGTTAGTTAGGGTTTAGGGCTTATATAGGGGTTTAGGGTTTAGGGTTTAGGGTTTAGGCCCCAAGCAACAGCCCTAAACCCGAAACCCTAAACCCGAAACCAGCATGCCCGTGGAACGCCCACTTGGAAGTCCTCCCCACATGAAGCCTCTTGTCCAGAATGAACTTCATTGATACATTCCTCTCTATCTTAGCTCCTCCCTAAGTCACTAGGGACTCAGCCACCCTATGTTCCCTAATGTACCCCAGTAAGGGTTAAATAGGGTACCTCCTTCCCAAATCCCCTTTTTCAAGAACCAGTAAGTTAAGTTTCCCAGGACATGAGGGTTGTAGGCAAGCCTCCCGCAAAGATGTAGCTAGCTGAGCACCAAACCCTAAACAACCCCTAAACCTTTCTAGAGCTGCGCAGCTGTCCGCCAACACCCTACACCCCAACCCCCCAAACCCCCAACCGTTTAAGGCTGCTTGTGTGGCTTCTTTTGTTGGCGAGCAGCGAGGATTGCCCCAGCTGCAAGGAGGACTCATATCGGTGTTCATGCCTGTGTTGAAGCAACAAAAACTCGAGAGGATTTTCGGGGCTAGGGTTTAGAGGTGTAGGGGCTTAGAGTTTAGGTTACGGTAGTACCTTGCTTTTTGAAAGGTTGCGACTCAAAAAGGGCATCCTTTCATTCCTCGTTCGTGTACAACCTAGAAACCTTAGGTGGTAAGTAGCGGCTATAGGGATACGTAGGTAAAAGGTTTAGAGTTTACAGTTTAGGATATCAGAGGGTTATAGAAGGTCACCCCATAAGATGTTCAAAACACTCAGCCCTACGCCCCCAACACTGAGAAACACTTATATAAAAACCCCAAACCCCAAACCCTAAACCCTAAACCCTAATATCTAACCCGAACCCTAAAGCCCTGCACGAGAACCTCAACCTCATGATGCAGGACACAAGTTCCCTCCTCCAGTTTACCCAAAAAGATGATCAGGCGCAGGCTCATGCGACCCATTCTGTGGGGGGTTTAGGGTTTAGGGTTAGGGTTTAGGGTTTAGGGTTTAGGGTTTAGGGTTTAGGGTTTAGGGTTTAGGGTTTAGGGTTTAGGGTTTAGGGTTTAGGGTTTAGGGTTTAGGGTGGGGAAAGGGGCTTCCACTTCTGTCCCGGAATCTCTTATAGCAAGCCAGCTTGGTTTTGAGCTTCAGCGCCACATGCAATCACCTTAGAACACCGGGTTTAGGTTGTCATAGTTGGGTAACATTTTACATTTTTAAGGGTACTTAAACCCAATAAGGAAAATATATTTAAAATTTTAATACTATACCAACCATGAACTAGTTTAGGTTTTGAGGTTGTTTTCGACTTGGGTTTGTTGACTTGCTGCGCGTATGCTTGGTGCCAGGAAAAGCAGTAGCGATGGTGTGACTACCTGCCTCCTTTGTGCTTCTTCGATCTTCGCCTCGCAGTCTTTCAAGAAGCAGCCTTGGTGCTGCCACGGTTCGAACCATGAACCCTGTCAGAACCTCTATTGCCTCAGACCCCCCGAAACACCTAAAAACTCCTTATAGGGGCCTTCAGACACTTGTTACCTAACCTCGAGCCTCGAGAGGCACCGGCTCCATCAGAAAAGGCGACCTGCATGAACCAACGGGCGCAGCCGTGCAAGGTTGGCTACATGCCGTGATTTAAGGTTTTTGGGACTATATGAGTTAAGGGGATTTGAAGATGCAGGCTCAGCTAAGGGTTGGCTTGACAGCGTTTTGAGGTGTCGGGCCGATTCTTCGAGAGGGTTCGCCCACTGCACGCACTGGCACACATCAAAAATGATTCGGCTACGTACCCTTCCACCCACGCGCACACGCACGCACGTACAGATGCACACAACTAAATCGCTGATGAGTTGAATGCTCCCTCGTCAAAAGCCTATCGTGCTGGAACCGCATGTAGTACTCGTAGACTTGAGATTGAGGTAGACCAAGCGGACGTAAAAGGTGATGTCCCAGGTATGTTTGTGCAGAGTTGGGCGGGTTGGTGAGGGCATCTTCGCTGGCTTGTCACCACCCCGCCAGCGCAGGGCGAAAGAACCCTAAACCCGAAACCCGAAACCCTAAACCCTAAAACCTAAACCCTAAACCCTAAACCCTAACCCCCCCCCCCTCCCCGTTTTAATTTTGCTGAATTGATAAAGCGAAGGAACTTGAGGCGATCAACTGCGTTCTTGTGATGAATTAAGTGAAGTTGACAACTCGAATGTTTTCCTAGTGTTATGGGATACAACGGGTGGGTGGGTAGATATTCGATACCAGAATGGTGAGTCTTGACTAGTGCATGCCTGGACTTGAGATGCTGAACCCTAAACCTTAAACCCTAAACCCTAAAAACCCTATAAACCCTGAACCCTAAACCCCTTATCCAGCCCCAAGACTACAGGACCCCGCACTCCAGGCTGATGCGACTTGCCGGGCGTACAGCCTGCTAAGACCCCCCCCAAAAAATCGGCCAGGTTAGGGTTTAGGGTTTAGGGCTTTGGGTTTAGGGTTTATGGGTTTGGGGTTTCGGGTTTAGGATTTAGGGTTTAGGGTTTTAGGGTTTAGGGGTGTAGTAGTACTCCCAGGATGGATTCCGTTTGTGGATTCCATGGATACTGCCTGCAGTTCCTCGGCGGATGACGGTTTGAAAGCATTCCTTTGCAGGTTCTCTGTTACGGGACCAAAGTCTAATTGCCGGTCCAGACGATGTAGATTACGGAGTTTAGTGGGTTAGGGTGGAGTGAAATGGGATTGGGGCTGACTGG